CAGTGTGGCTGAAACACCATGTGCACTTCATGGAACTGGTTCAATAAGCTGTTCTGTCGGATGCTGCACAGAGTAGTCCAGTTAGTTATTTTTTGCACAGAGGAAAAGCTCCAGGTGTAGTAAATCATTCTTGGCCTCTGCAAGCACATATATTGTAAACTGTTTTAAGGTTCTTTGACTGTTTCCACCTATCGCAGCTTAGATATGATCTTCTACATTTCACCCACTAAGTAAACTTTAAAAAGCCTGACCCTCTGTTGTCCCATGAAATCTGATCTACCTATCACCATCAAGGGACATCTGGGATTCATCTTATCTTTTCCACTGGTTTGTTGATTAATAGAAATTGTTTTGAATGGGATTCAAACATGGCAAAACTCCATGAACCTTATGAATTACAATAGGGTCAAATAGGAGGTCAGGTTAAAAAGAAATGTTTTGGATGTGAGGAAGCGAATGAAGCCGTAATAATATGGCCAGCATTAGGTGCCTAAGAGGTGAAGATGAAACTCTTGTGTTTGTTTTAAAATAGGTTTCATACATCAAAGGAGTTTCTGATCATCTTTAAAATGATATATATTTTCACTGAAGTGAAAGAAATCTTGACCTGATAGGATGAATGGAGATTATAGGTATCCAGCACAGGCTCAGTTTTTCAGGAATATCTCATGAGCCTTCACAAGCTAAAGGTCATGAAACAGCCATCTCAGACTCACAGAGTTAGAGGAGGAACAGTTGTTTCCTATTCACTGGAAATTTTCTTCCCTAAAAAGTCTTAATGAATAGGAAGCTTGAAGATAAATGGACTTAGTCGAGACTTTCAAGTTTATTAGTTCTTTCTGACTCTTCAAGGAGTGCAGTGGCAGTGGTTCCCCACGTCTGCAGGGGCCCACAGATAATTTGCAAAGGAAAACAAAACTGGTAAGATGTGACTATAGCACCAAAGCTGGAGTAACCTGAAGCAGGACTGTAGTGCTTTTGCGGCCAGATACCAGTGCTGCCTCGTGCTCCAAGCCAAACACAGACCATGCAGATGTGGTTAGCAAAATACCTTGCAGAACTACATAACCCTTGCAAAGACGCACTACCTTGGGTTCACTGCTGCATGGACTTGGCTTGTGACTTCTGGCTGTCTCAAAATGTGGGCACGCTCTTGTCTGTCAATCTGTTGTGCAGGTAGACAAACTGCATACTGTTAGATAGCTTCCAGGATCAGACCCTTAGGTGGAGTAAAACCAATGAAGCAGCACTAGCTGGCAGCTGTAGAGGATCCCCTTCCACCAAGCCCCAATGCACATACCAAAAGCAGGCTGATTTTTTTAAAAGGAGAAAAGACATTTTGGAGTCAGAGTCTATAGTTTCTCCTGTCCAGGAGCCAGCACTGCAGAAATAAGGTACAGGAAGACTGCCTTAAAATGGCAAATGCTCTTATCTAAAGGTAGGCAAAGCGTTTAGAAGAAAATAGGAATTTACTGTTTGAACAAATACGCAGCGAAACACTGGCTTTGCTTTATCTGTTATTGCAGCAACTAGAATACTCATTTATAGGCTGTGAGCTTGTATCTGTCTTTCATTATATGATTGCACAAAGCTCAGCATGAAGAGGCTATGATCCCCAGTGACATATAATACAAACAACAAATAATAAGTTTAAAAAGAAAAAAACCCCAACAAACAAACAAACAAAAAAACCCCTAAACCAACTATGGACAAGAGATTTAATAAGCAGTGCCAAGTTCTGTACAGTTCCTACTTTTTGAGTCTCAGTGACCTGTGTCTATTAATGGGTAATATTCGGACCACTATGTTTCTTAACATTCTCTGGTTTGATATAAAAAAAATTACACTTAGGTCTTATGTGTGTAGGTGCCAGTACATGCTTTCCTAACTGGACAGAAAGTTCCCCTCTGAGGGAAAGGGATCTTCAAGGCCTTCAGGTAGATTTAGGATTCAGGATTTCAGTAGGAGAAAAGTGGTGGTCCAGACTGTGACCCTTTTTCGTATCTGTGTGCCAAGATAAGTATGCATGTCTGCATTTCTGACTGCTTGAATGTATTCTTCGAATGGCTTCAAGTTTCACATGAAAACTTTTTTAAACACAGATCTACTATTTAAATCCATTGTTTTATTTTGATCATGATATCAAAGACTGGAAGTATTTAACATCGGTCCTGGTCACCTGCCGTGTCCTGAAAGCTTGTTATGTTGACTGTACATTTTTTCTTTCTTTGATTTAAAAATACAATCCAACACAACAAACACAGTATTGAATACTGTACAAAGCAGGATTATGAACTTTGTATGTTGTGTGCTTTACTGGGCCTTTCTGTCTTTGTAAAAATAAAGCTATTGCAAGCCAGGAAGTTTCGAAGGTAGAGCCAAGCTTGAACCAAACAAGAGAGTTGGCTTGGATTTCTGCAACAAGCCTAAGCCAAGCCAACAGACCTGACTGTATTCATTTATGGACAGAAAAATTCAGAGAAGGGTATGCACCAGAAGATTTTGTGGCAGGAAATAAGGCCGCAGTGTTCCTTTTTGCTTGTTTCTTCTCTATTTGAAAATAGAACTAAACCAGATCTTGGGTCAAGCTGTAACTGTCTTGTTCATCCTCTGTTTAAAATCAGAACATAAAGACCACTTTTTCTCTAATTATACAGCTATAGAGGAATAATGAATTTCCCACATATTTTTCTACTCTCTTCACTCTGTGCTGCTGTCCAAACTTTGTCCTATATGAACTGTTTGCCCAGATCACAAAAAGGACCTGATTGCATCTAAGTTTTTCTGGAGATTTTACAATAAAAGTGAAATACTTCCAACATTTTACATTTTATTTTAATCTTCCATAACATATGAATAGAAAAACTGTCTGCTGTCTAAGTCCTCTAGCACTAAAATTCCAGTTATGAATTTGGACTTTCAACCTCCACTTTTAAAAAGGATGAATGAGCTCTGGGTTATTGCTTTTTGATACATATTCTTCTGGAGCAAGATTTAACCCAAATCCTTTTTTTCTCTTATGCCTTAATCCATTTAACCTTTTGTAGCAGGAACACTGTTCCCTTGTACTTAGCAGAACTTTTGGCTGGAGCTTGGCTTATTGCTTTTGGGCTGCATCACACTCAAATACAAAGTAAATTAACTGAAAATTTTCTCTCATGGTGCAAAGCAAATTAGCTGAAGATCTGTGCTTAAGGCCATGGCTTTTATGTGTTTATAGTTCACTGCAAGAAATGTTTGGAGTGGTGTGATCCAACATCATTCTACATTCAGACAAAATGGGCATAACCACATTGCCACTACACAGTGAATGAGAGGTCAGATTGGCTATCTTGGGTTTGAGCCAAGGGTGTAGAAATGACAAATTTAAAGCCAAGATTCTGCCAATTTGCTTTAAGAGGAGATTTGAATGCTTGATTTTTAAGACAGGTTTTATTTTTTGATCTTTAATACTAAGCAAGGATTCTTTAATGTCATAAAGTGACATGCAGCCCCAATTCATATTGAAAGATGTAATAATCTGCCCTATGTAAAAGAAGCAGAAAAGCATTAGTGAAAGAAGGTGTAGAAAAAGGTCTGAGAAACAAAGGTGATAATTTAAACCTCAGAAGAGATATTTTGCCTCAATGGCAGCAAGACTTTCCTAGCTGGTAGGATAAGGAATCTGTGAATAAGGTTGTCATTACTGATACTTGAACTTCTAGAGCATGAAATAGTTTGAGGACAGGGAATACAGACATCTTAGAAGGATATTGTCTAGCTATGTGGTTGTATATACATCAAAATCCTTCCCTATCAAGTCTATAATCAACCTTTATAATTCTCCATAAAAAAATGTTACAGTCCTCAAGTAAAAGCTATAACAAGTATTAATTTCACCTGGTATTTGACCAGATATCATTGAGGAGCAGATTTCCTTACAGCAGCAAGGTGGAGGACTATGGGACCTTTATAATCTGAGGCAGCCATATTGCCAGCACTTGCTTTTTTGTCACAGTTCTCATGATGTTTAATGTTTTTGCTAAAGCTTAGCTCATGTATTCCCATAATTATGTGAGAAATTCAGGTTACTCCTAAAAAAAACCCACAATGAATCTCTAGCCTTTGTGGTTGCTTGCACAGGAAAACTTGAAATATCATTCTTCAAGGATCAAAAACTGGAAAGGAAATAAAAAACCCCTCATGTTTATTTTGCCTGAAGTCTCATGATTTTGAAGGTCTTGTTCTCTTGAGAACTTGACTCATGGTTTTCAGTACTAAATGATGGCAAGAAAGTATATGTGGATAAGAAAATCCTCATGTTCTCATCAACAAGAGACTTTAAGTAGTATGAGTGGTCTTTGTTCTTTATAACAGGTGTACTTGGTTCAGAGTAGGGTTTATGCATCTCACAAACCTCCTGAAGGAATAACAAAGGGGCTTTATAAAAGTCTTCCCAGTAAAATAATAGTAAGTCACTAATTATGCAAGTTATAAAGTCCTAGGCTAAAGAAATGCAAATATGTACCACATTTTTCTGATTTTTGTTGCCCTACCCACCAATTTAGGTCACTGAGGTGAAAAAAAAGCTAGTGAGGAGAGTTTAAATAAACAAACAGCTAAATCACATAATTCTTTTTTCTTTCTTTGCAAACAAAGACGAAAATTTGGCTGGAAGAGAGTGGCTGTGCACACACACTTCTTCACGTATGTGCACAAGTGGAAAGAGATTCAGCAAGAGCATTTCAGGGCTGTGGTTAAGACACGTACAGTAGATTTCTTATGTCCTGAGTATATTTACACATGGTCTTGATGTTCTTTCAATACTTTTGCGGAAAGAAGAAAGGAAGGTATAATTATCGAGTTGAATTATGTGTAGCTGTAGCTATTTCAATCAGTTTTCTTTGTCTAAACAGAAAAAACTCCTACATCTGGCAGCTGTGGAGCGCAGCTGGCTGCATGATACTGCGACTGGCTGTCACAAATAAACCTGCTGGCCTTTTCCTCTTTCTTTTCTACAGGACTGCCCACCAGAAGCAGGTGATTTTCGTGCTCAGCAGTGCTCTGCTCACAATGACGTCAAGTACCAAGGACAGTTTTACGAGTGGCTTCCCGTCTCTAACGACGCAGACAACCCATGCTCACTGAAGTGCCAGGCCAGAGGAACGGCTCTGATTGTAGAGCTAGCACCAAAGGTTCTGGATGGGACACGATGCTATACAGAATCCTTGGACATGTGCATCAGTGGCTTGTGCCAAGTAAGGAGAAATGCCCTACCCTAATGCCTTTCTTCATGACTCCTCCCATCAGATCTCTCTCAGGCGCTCACTCTGTCTCCTCCTTCATACTTGTATCATTTTAGGGTCTTCCTTTAAATAATCTGTTTTCGTTCTCTTAGGTTGACTTCTACCTTGTTTGGAAGAGATGTACAAATTCAAAGGTTATTTTT